CGACCTGTGGCCCTTTGCTGTGTCTCATCCCCTCTCTTTACCCACCTTTCCTGTCTATCTACAGCTGTCACAATCCAATAAAAAAATAACTTATAAAAAAAACAAAAAAACATGTAAAATCAATAAGTCACGTTCTCAAACTAAAAGACTATGCTCTTAAATAAAGATAGGGAAATACCCCCATACCGAGAGCTTGAAAGAGTGCTTTCAATTTATGGCACACAAATCAAGAGCTACATGCTTTGAAACATTCTTTAATGCTTCAATGCGATAAATGGCTGCTGGACATTCCTATCTCTTCATATGAACATTTTATATATCGTCTCTGTGATGTTTGGGGGAAAAGACTTTATAAAGCTCAGTTATCACGGAAATGTCATTTTCTAAGAGTAAATTGCTTTGGACATTCCTGAATTACATAAAATAAGACATTATTATGTTCTTACTTGCAAAAGTTCACAAAAATGCTACTTAATCTTCCAGATGCCAGCGTGTATGTTAAACATGCAAAATTACACATGACCATATATCAACAATGAACAAATAACCAAACAAAACAGAAATTCATTAAAACATGATGAAGTGCATGCCACCAAAAAGACCGTGATGAATATCAATCAACCACAAACAGGAAATGTGATGTGATACTTAAACCTAAGGAGTTTACTGGTTATAAAACAGTTACTTTATTTAATATTCAATTTAATACTGATGCCTGTAAATTACCTACATAAACACACAAGACCATCAGAGAAAAGACTGGCTATTTCTGTATAGTTTATAATTAATGCCTGCCACCGGGTTGGACTGGGTCGAATTGCCCTTGAAATAAATAAAAGAGGCGATGGAAACACGACTGCCTTTGTCCAGAGGGGCTGCCAAGGAAAGCTCATTGTTGCAGCTTTAAATCTCTCTGTCAAAATATGAAGCTGTTTATGGAACAAGGGCTTCAATACCACTTAGGAAAGTCACTCAAGTGGAATTTCTATTTGGCTTAGAAGAACAGTTTTCTATTCAAAACAACCAACAGGGTCTGAAAAACTTGAAAACTAACTTTGAATTGCTTTTGAGATTCTTTGTTTTGTGTAGCCGTTTAGACGCTAAGCATTTAACCATTGTCTGTTTCTATCTGACCTTATTTACTATTAAAAGGTAGGTGTGCCTTCACATAATCAATAAACAATCTTATTGTGACTTTAACATTTTTTGCCTTCTTACTCTGCATTCAGTCCAAACTTATCCATGGAGACCTGTTGAGTCCGTCTATTGTCAAATAAAACAACCATAGAGCGGTATTTCTTGTATGAAATATAAAATCCTTCGTATTTTTATCTAGTTATCAAGCTTTGTTATGAAACATCTTCTATGGCTGCAGATTAATAGACCAGTGTGCAGGATTTAGTGGCATCAAGCAGTGAAGTTGCAGGTTTCAACCAACTGAACACCACTCGTGTCTGTATTTCACAACCTGGGAATCAGTACAGGCTGAAATGTGTACGAGGAACTATGGTGGCTGCAAAACTCCCAACTCGAAAGGCCCTATCTAGACGCTGAAGATCTTACCACAACTTAATCTCTTATTTTTATACACAGACTTCATTATACATACAATCTACAATATATGAGATCATTTGGACGTATGGGGGAAACTCACCACCAAGGCTGCCATGTTTGATTTTATGCAATTTATTTTAAGACCCCAGACACCACACTGAGAAGGTTGAACAAGCTGGATTTTAACATCCGACTACAGACTAATAATTAATTGATAATTAGCTAATTAGCATCTGTTTTCTTTTGGAAGTGATAATGAACTAGCTGTGTCACCTAGCATCTAAACCTCTTGTTTGTGTGTGTTTTGTTGTGCTGTTGAGCTGGTGTTATGTAGTCAAGAAGGTGCTTACCTGTGCTTGTGTAACGGTCCGTGGTTGGAGAGGAGCAGACGTCTCCCTGCGCAGATGAAGGATGCATGTGTGACGTCTGGATGATGAGGGCCTTCTGATGGTCTGACAGCGCCTGGATGTTCCCCCACACTCGCAGCCACCCGGACACACAGGAAAAGTTGGCTCCTTGAACACAAATGGACAGACAAATGTTTTAATGATTTACATATAAAAGTGTTCAGGAGGTGCTTCAGCTTAGTAGATATATAAATTCTGTAAGCCGGAAACAGGATATGGCAGTTTACGTTTGTAGAGCACAATTATTGTACATAACTCTAAATTATTTCCTTTGGTGAGAATAAACTTCCAGGGGGCTAGAGCAGCGTTTCTAAGTGCTGCTCATCTCTGATCTGTTATATCTGAGCTTCTTTCATAAGTCAAATGCACCTTCTTACACCGCTACACTCTCAGTAAAAATAAACTTGTACTCAGCGTGTTCCTAGACCACAGTTCTGTATCCCTGCTTTACTTTACAGCTGCTACTGTGTTGATTGTTATGAGTCAAGTTCTCCCCCAGAGTTGATCGAGTCAGTGCTCTATAATCTTTTCTTTCTTTTGCACTGAAATCCTTTGAACGAACACGCAATTTTTCAAAGCTCAGGGAGTAGCTAGTCATTTCTTACATAAAAAAAATCAGCCAAATGTGACAATTTCAAATTATAAAGAATGAAAGTGCCTTACCTTGGAGATACAAGGCAGAGATACCACAGTGACACTTCTGCTCCAGGTAGTCGGCAACCTCAGCCACTCTTTTCCCCTGAATCAGAGCACTGCAGTCTGGGACAAAAGGAGGATGTCAGCTTCAATGAAGGCATACTCACTGCATTATTACACTACTGATACATTTTGAATTTAAACAAAAATGTCGTTTTACATGAATTCCCACATAATGGTTTTATCTTCATTGCTGGAATTTCTTCCTTCAGGATTTTGAGGCATTTTCAATTAAGTAGGAATGCACCATATGGATTTGTTTTCCAGCCGATACAATATTTGATAATTACCTGCTTCTCATGGCCGATACCGATAAGATATCCAAATAATTTAACATTATTGTATTTTAAAAAGGAGTTCATAACCTGCAGTTTATGTACAACTGATGGTAAGGCCAAGATGAAGTGAGCGAAGATGGATGATTCCATAGCTCTGTTATTTGTTAACACAACAAAAACAAACAACAGTTCTGATGTTTCTTCTAGTGGTAGTTATAGTAGTAGAAGTTCATCAAAAAAATTTCATTTTTGAATGAGAATTCAAAATAAATTATCATTATTATTATGGACCGCTAATTACCGGCTGTAATTTATTACTTATTGGGATAATTCATAATAATATAGATTTCGTATTATTGGCCAATAATTTATCTGCCCCGGCATTTAACATGCATCCTTACAATTAAGGTACAGATAGGAAACATGAGGTCAGAAAAGCCCTACTTTCACGCATAGTGGTTTTAAATAGCAGAGAAAAGTTTTCAGTTATATCTAGTCAGTTATATTTATATGACATCCTCTATTGTTAGTGCATATTTTATTCAGTTTTTGAATGTTTTAGTTTTGTTAAGTTAAGATTCCTCACCTCCTGACTGCTCCTGCCAGTCACTGGACAAGGGTCCGAGGCAAAGGTCAATGTGACTTGAGAAGGCGGAGCTCGGACAGAGGTTGGTGCTGTGAGGTGTGGGCGAGGAGCTTGTCCAGGAGGAGGGGCTCCTCACCTCACAGCAGGAACACCGGCTGAGCGAAACAGGGCCATCTTCCACTGACCTGCATGCAACAATACATGAATACACATATATAGGTAATAAGGATGATAAAGTCAATAAAAGAAGTCTGTCTCAAATGACATAAAACAAAGCGAGATTTTTTTGGGATTGTTGCGACCTTCGCTCTTTCAAAATAGGTTAGCGCAATTCTTTTAATACACAAAAATGCTTTTCAATCAACTGCACCATGAAATGTTAAAACGTTGTATAAACACATCATGTTATACTATAATAACTATAATTATCAGGGAGCCAATTATCTCTTTTTTTTTAAATTTGCAATCATCATCTTATCTATCTTAAGCTGCCTGTGTTGTCCTCAGCAGCAGTGATATAATATGAGTGCTGCTGTAAATAGGCAACACTGGGCCAATCATTGTCAGAAATCCAGGGTTTCCCCCAGGAAATTAGTTGATAGAGCTGATTGTGACTGATTGAACTGTTAACCAACCAACATTTTCCACCTGGAGAAACCACTCCTTCACGCTGCTTTAATTAATGTGAAGCACAGGTGCAATGAGTAAGCCTGATCAATCACCATCTGCTGAGCCTATTCTGACAGATCCTGACTCATTAAACCTGTGGCATTTGCTGCATGAATAACACCCTTTTTCCTGCTATTATTTTCGTGAAGATTTGGCATTTCACAATGGTTGTTTAATTCAAACGTATTAAATTCTTATGATGTTAATGGAGGCACATTGACAATAATTTTAAGTTCATATGAGCTTCCTGCTGTACTGTTGAAGACCCTAACAGCATAGCAGGTTGCTTACTTTGGCTAAAATAATGATAATAGTAAAGGGAATAAAGGTGCTGGCTGAAAGAGAATAAGCTTTCATAATAAAAAACTGAGCAGGAACCAAGGTGCTTTGACCTTTGACAAGTCTGTTGGTGGCCTTGACCCAATTAAGATAATTAGATGAAAGCCTTTACATCAGCTTACAACAGTAAGATTACAGCCTTAATTGGGTTTAAAATGTATCATGTGTAAAAGTTCAAACACTCATGTTTACCTGAGAGCTGGAATAATTTGTCTCCCTCTGGTGGTGGACAGAGAGGAGAGCAGCTGCTGGTTTTCACTGAACACAAGTACATCTCGGAGACTGGAGTTGGTCAGAGCTGTGCCAGCTCTACAGACACTGAACAGGTCATAGCACAGGACTACCGCTCCTCGTACCGGCACCGTGGAGCCCTCCGTGAAAGTCTGATCTATGCAGGGGAGAGAGGAGGTGTAGGAGTAGAGTGAGAGGTGGTGGGAGTAGGTACGAACCAAGAAAAAAGGATGCAGAGAGACTATGGGATAGAGTCATATATCCCAGAACAACAAAGTGTCCTACTGCCCCACCCCTCACCTGCTCCAGTGACATTTCCAACAATGTAAAATCCATCCTGGTCAACAGATCCGGTCAAAGGGAGGGCAATCACAGTCCCACTGCGTTCCTGGTCAAACACAGTGAGCACCAGGCCCCTCAGGTCTGTCATGGGGGGGCCATGAAGCTCCACAAAGGCCCTCTGCTGGCTGTGATTGGTCCAGTGGCCACTAGCCACCTCACTGATGACCACACCCTCAGGGGCTGGAGGGGGTCGTGGGCAGCTGTTCTCCCTCAGAGGGGTGGGTGGAGCCACCTGTAGTGATCGATACATTTCATACAGTTATGATTTTAATGGCTTTAAGAAGGTCACATTTTGTTTCGCTTCTGCTTACCACAATGTGTCACTTTGTTTTGTGTACAGATTAAACCAATTAAACATAACATGTTGTAACATTTGCTGGCAGGTGGATTTTGCTGCATTTCCAGTCTTTGTGCTAAGCTAAGCTAATCAGCTGCTGGCTGTAGCTTCATATTTAGCGTACAGATACGAGGTATTAATCTTCTCATCTAACTCTCAACAAGAAAGCAAAAAAGGCTAATTTCACCAACATTTCCCAAACTATGCCTTTAATTACTTGTTTGTATTGGTTATAAATTATATGAAATATATTATTATTTGTTGTCTTAGTCTTTTGTCTCAGAGGTTAATTTACACTCCTGACTGTTCAATTTCTGCATGCCCTTTGCAACCTTCGCCATTTCTACTCACTGAAAAAGCAGACAGGTCATAGGGGTAAAGGCCTCTACAGCGGCTGAGGGCCTCATCTCCTGGCAGAACCTCTGGATCCTCCAGCAGAGGCAGCTGCCCTGGGGTGAGAGCTTTACTCAGCTCCTGCGCCTCCTTATCTGATCCTCTCTGCCGATACACAACTGCATCCAGCAGGCCTTTGGTGGGGATCCCCCTTGTGGCTGATGGTGGGCCAAGAGGGCTTCGATAGAGTGCCACAGCATCTGGTCCGTTCTGGATGGTATTGGGGGGCAGGCGGAGTGATGGAGCTGGCACCAACCTGTCACTGCCCAGCAGAAAGTAGCCCTTAGAAGTGGTGAAGTGTCCACTAAGACTGATCTCCCTGTAGGGTCTGTTGTTGTGCGCACTGAATAGTAGTATCCAGATGCCTTGCAGGGAGACACGGCGTCCTGATGGGTGCCACAGCTCGATGTACTCGCCGTCCTCAGCTGCTCCAGGTGTATCCGTGTTCAGCTCATTGATCAGGAAGTCACTGTTTCCCCAGGGTGGGAGGTGAGGCGGTGAATCTGTACCTCCTGGAATTACTAAAGCATAAAAGGAAAGTATTAATAAGCTGCTGTTAAAGGAATCGTTTGAATTTACTTCACAGTGGTTTTTGTACGGATTTAACAAACAGCATTTAAGGTGTTATTTAAAGGCTAGTTGCTTCAGTCTTTGGGTTAAGCTAAGCTAACTGGCCGCTGGCTGTAGCTTCCTATTTAACAGGCATGGCAAGAATTTCCCAAAAGGCTTTTTGTTTTATCTCTGCAATATTGCTTAAATAAACATGTAAAGCAATTAATTTTGCCTAATAGAAAGTAACAATGTGATTTAGTTGTAGTCTATTCATTACTGGAAACACTTTGATGACATTTGTGGGAAAAATAATATAGCGTGGAAACTCTTTGTTTGACCCCTTATCTGAGGCCTATCGAAAATATAAACACCCTTTAATTACGGAAGGATCTATCTTCTTATATTATATAAAGTGACATCTATTTTATGTATTTACTACATTAATACAATACCTAATAGAAGGCGATAGATGGCAGTATTGCATAATTATGTTGCATACAACTGATTCACAGAAATATTAGCCTGTTAATATTTGTTTGTTGTGAAGAAGAAAGATGGTGAGGCACTCTGTTGTCATTTTTGATATATAGTTTGAAAAAAGAACAACTGATGTTTATTTTATAATTTATTATAGAATGAAGCTTAGGCCATTGGTATCAAGTTAATTGCAAATACATTGGCTGATTGTTTGTGTTGCATGCAATGGGCCAACAAATGTACTTAGTGTATAGTAAGACTGGCACCATATCACTAATTCAGAGGATCACATTGCTTTTATACTGATGAAACAATAGTAGCCAACACATTCAACAGCAACAGAGAGCCAGAACATTGGTTCACTGTAAGTAGGTTACATACTGTAGGTCAGGCCTATGTGGATAAAAAGTTAAAGGAATACTTTAACATTTTGGCAAATACACTTAATTGATTTCTTGCCAAGAGTTGGATGAGAAGAGTGATATGACTATCATGTGTATATGCTAAATATGAAGCTACAGCCAACAGATGAGTAGCTTGGCTTAATTGCTAGAAGCAGGGGCAAACAGACCAGCGTGGCTCTAATGGTCTGCTAGCAGTAGCTTTATATTTACCATACACAGTAATCAAACTTCTCATCTAACTCTCTGCGAGAGATTCAGTGTATTTCCCAAAACGCTGCAGTAGTATTTTAAAGGAACTTGATTGATGATTTACACATGTAAGCTAATGGTTATAATTACCATGTATACTATTTGGTAGTTAATTAAAAGGTACTCTATGAAGATTTTCACCATTAATGGCACTTCTTGTAATGACTGCAACAGAAAAAGTGGGCCTTGTACATTCTCAAGTCAGACAAATGCCTTCTGACGTCTGCCCTGTGGTATGCAATTTAAACCTGGATGTTAAAACCTGGAATGTAAATGTGCGACTGGAAAGACTCATTATGGCGCTGTCCCCTGACAGAGGTGCTGAAATTCTAAGGGTAATTCCAGCGGGGTCTTATCCTTATATTCAGTTATAACATTATACTTACTAATGTAATTGATAAGACCTGGAAACATGCCAACACAAGCCAGATGATTTAAACCACTCGTTGGTGTTGCTTGGGAAAACGGTGTACGTGCACAAGTGGGTTAAATGGACCTTTGTGTTAGTTCATGCAGAGCACTGAAGTCGCGCTCACATCAGCTGACCGGTGTCAGGTGTGTAATTAATGCTCAGCATCATTGGCTCATTGATACATCATCCTTTTTTGGCTACCAGCTGACCAGTAGCATCCAATCACGTTCATTCAAGTGTACTAGGGAGCCTTTATAAACTGTCAGTTCTCACCATTACTCTGCAGATTCCCTCATGCCAGCACCGCTTCCTGCTGCAGCTCCCTCCACCTCCCCAACGTCCTACTTCTGTGACTGAAGGGTTGCTATTGTTGACTTGCTCCTTCAAAGAGCAGATTCTTTCCCACAAAATCTGACTTTCCGAATGTGTCTGACTGCAGTACTGTCAAACCAACAGCCTTTTGTTTTCTCTCCTAAATAAATTTGCCTAATTTGGAGGTTTTTATATAAACCCTCGCTTATCTCGGTGTAACCCAATGCATGGTTGACTTGTTGAAGATTATTAGGATCTTGAGGTAAACAGCTGAGGGGAAAAAATCACCACAAGGATCATTTAGAAGCTGTTTTGGAGCTTTAAATCATATCACATGATCTTCACAAGGATGTCACATTATCTTAATCTTATTTTTGTGCTGGAAAATATACCTTGTTACCTAATTATGTGACTTATTTTTCACTGTCACATTTCGACAAATCTAATCCTAACAATATTGAACATTTTGCTTATTATCTGTTCCAGGGATGGGAAAGGAGCACACATGGTATACCACAGGCTTTCCTCAACCTCCAAATGTGTGTGATTTCTCTAACAAACAGGGGCTTATCTTTAATTTCTCTTAATAGTGTTTCTTTCTCGAAGCAGCACCTCCCCACCAACTCTCAGTTCTTTGATTTGAAACAATTGTTCCAGTGATGTATCTCTGGGATGTTCATTCTGAGCTGCCACATTTATGAATTGCTTTCTGAGAATGACTCATCCTAATTTTCTCACACGCTATCAAGTCATGGGCATGACTTAATGATCTTGTTCCCACGCATCATTAAGTCATGAGCACGCGTTATATTTTGTTTCACAAATCACAGGGTCTCTTAACTGTCTACATCTCTTTCACAGTATCAATTTAAAATCACTTCTTTTAGCATTTAACCACTTGTTTTTTAATATTATGTACACACACATTTATATATTAAACTTTAAGGCTAAGGAAATAGAGATCTATTCAAGCAGACACAGATGAGACCAAGGTTGCCATGTGATGTGTTTTGAGATATTTTTTCATTGTCTTTGTGGGCAATTTATAGTTTAAATTAGGAGCCTAATGTAACACATAGCAGAATTATATATAAACATATATATATATAACAGTAAAACAGACACCATGTAATTCTATTGTAATTTAGATTTAAAAACCCAATCTGTGTAACTAATAGCATGGTATTAACTTTGGCCAAGAATTATGTAAATAATTGGTGTTTTTAATGCTGGGGCAAACTGGACAGTTGATGTTGTTGTTTTAGGAACTTGAAGCAACAGCACATTCATAGAACACTCACCAATACTGTGAGGGCAGATCTTTGGCCAGGGGCACTGGTTGGGCTGTCCAGGAGTTTGTGGGGCCTCCCAGAAGACACCAGGATCTCTGGCCCAGGTGGCCACACCACAGCGACTCAGATAGAAGCCTCCCTCTCTCAAACTGACAAAATAATGGCATCATTAAGAAAACAACCCTTACAAAATTCCCCTTATTTTGAAGGGTTACAAAGCCAGAGCTGGTTAGTGTTGGGTGACACATTCATATTTTGTAGTGTATCATAATGCTACACAACAATATAGCCTTTAAATACAAATAAACTAATTGTATGCTGCATGTGTAATAGTGTTTAACCATGTCAACTGTGTGGCTCTAGGGATCCAGGGTGAGTTGGTGCAACATTTTGGTTCAGACTGAAATAGCTCAACAATGATTGGATACATTTTGTTCAAACATGTATGGTTCTTAGAGGATGAATCCTACTGACTGATTATTATTTTATTCTTGAGCCTCCAGCAGGTTGACTTTTGTCGCTTTTAGTAAATGTCTTTTACATGGATTACCATGAAATTAGGTACACACACCCATGTCCCCCTCAGGATTAACTGTAATAACTTTGGTGATTCCCTGACTTTTCCTCCAGCACCATCATCAGGACAATATGTGTCCAATATTTTGGTTTATAACTAAATACCTGCAAAACTAATGACACTCCCATCAGCCTCAGCTGTACTTTATCTGTGCTGCTAATTAGCAAATGTTAGCACACACATTGCACTTAAAAGACTAGACGGCTCATTCTTAGGTAACAATGATTCATTACAGGTGCACAAATGAAGACATACTTATGAATATTATGTTCCATTTCTGCCAATAAATCCTCCTAACACACACTGGACCTTTACGTACAGCCCCATAGAGCTGCTAACATGGCTGTAAACCTTAGTCTCGTTGCATAATGCTACATTTTTTATTCAGAGGGGTGCTAATTTGTCTTGATTGTCAGATGTGATTGCTGTTCTGCAAACATCCACTGAAGTGTCTTTGAGTCAGTGGGACTGTGAGCCTACACAGCGATGACACACACCAAATAGGAAAAAATGTATCAGCAAAGAGGAACAGTGGTCACAAGCTGACCGTCACCCCCACTGAGTGAAAACACATTTAACAGAACGTGTTTCACAACACTCGAAGCTGTGGCCTCGAGAATAACCACCGCACATTACTAACAAATCTGCTAGTCATACGAAAAACACATCATGAGATTCACTAAACGGGTGCCGATTCTTTCTGCCTCGATGTCCTGGGGTGGCTTTACTTTTGAAGTTAAAAGGAGTGGGAAACTCTAAATTATCACAGTGTCTTGCCTGTTGCTGAGCTGGTAGGGCTGTCTGCCTGGGATCAGAGTCTCTGTGAGGTTGGCACTCGGCTTGTTTCCGGGTCCAGCAAACACAAATGCATCTAGAGGCTGTATCTGGCTCAGTGGACTACCCACAGGGAAGTCTGAGGCTCTGCCACTGTAAACAGCCACTGCCCCCGACTCGTCTCCTAAGAAGAAAGCATAACAGGAACAAAGAATTTACAATAAAACGAAAGTAAATGAATGAATGAAAACAGACCAAAAGACACTGACGCTCAGCATAGCCTCCACATGTGAGACCTGATGGACTAAAAAGCTGAAACCATCATACAACGATAAACTTATAGTTTGGGCAAACTGCATTAAACTAAGGTATCATGACAGCACACTGACCTTTCATGTAGTTCTTGTCTATGGTCATGGAGATCAACCCACTCCTGGAGGTGGTCAGACCCACATCTACACTCACACTCACACTGACCCTGTCCGTTTTCCCATCCAACACGACCAGCACCAGAGGGCCGGCAGTTGGAGCCTCTGTTAGCTCCACAAACCCGTCCACCTGCCCGCCTCCCAGCTTCAGCTCAGTAATGACAGGAATGGTTGCCGGGGCGGCAGGCGGGGTGCAGTTATTCCTCTGTCCTGGGGAGGGTGAGGACACCTGAAAGCCCCAGCGATCTTCGGACAGTAGGCACCTCTCAATTGACTCGTCCCCCTCTAGTGCAGTTTCGTCCTCAACGAAGGCCGGCTCCCCTGGCGTCAGAGTTTCAGCTAGGAACTCTGCGCCCCCTGTACGGCGGGTCATGTACACCACGGCGTCCACCAGCCCCAGGGCCGAGACGTTCATCTTCTCACTGTAGCGGGCAGCAGATGTGTGGTAGAGTACGATGGCGTCCGGGCCGTTCTGGACTGTGTTGGGAGGCAGGAGGATGGCCGGTTTGGGCAACATGTCCACGGAGCCCACCAGGAAGAATCCTCTGTCATCAGTGCTGTGGCCTTTGAGGTCCAGCACCTTGTAGGCTATATTTCCATTCCCATTATAAAACACAAGGGTGTAGCCATCCAGCGAAGCCCGCTGTCCACTGGTGTGATACAGCTCCACGAACTCGGTGGTGTCCAGTCTCGGGTTGTCGGCATTGATCTCGCTGATGATGAGGCAGGGGTCGCCGCTGACTGCCACAACCAGGCACAGACAGACCACAAGGGCCACACTGACCACCATGATTTACAGCTTTTCTCTGAAATGCCTGAACAGGGGGGGAAAAAAAGGACCACCAGTTGCAATGCTCCGTAAAATAACTGAGTGAGAGTTCATTACTGTGGTTTCATTTGACAGGACAACACAAAATCTGAGCCACAGAAAAAGCACAGACTGCTGTATAAGCAGCGTGTTCACAGTATTGTGATCAAATCTAATGTTTACTACTTGCAGACCAGACTCCCTAGAAGAGAACCCTCATAATATCATGAATGAGTCTTCTATGAGTCTATTTTTTGTTCATGGTGACATTGGGAATGCACGTCTTCTGCATGAGTCATGAAATGTTGCGAAACACTGGCAAGCAGATGGAAACTTTGCATGAAACGGCGAAATGTTTAAGCTGTGAATAAATAGGATTTAAGTGACTAAATGGACACATAACACTGCGCAAAACAGCAGCTTTGACGTGTTTCAGGACGTGGTTGAAACATATGTTGCAATTTACCATTTCCATTTCATCCCTAAATGCCCTGAAAATCGCCACAGCTCCAACGTTAGCTATAAAATTGAGTCTTGAAAGAAGCTACGTTAGTTTCCACGACAGTCCCCTCTCCAAACCACGTTGGGACCGAGAAAGACGCCTTTTAAGATGAAGAAAGAGTCTATGGAGTTAAATAAATTCTGCCCTGATATTATCTCCCATCTCACGACAGTTTTATTCCGGTCACGGTTTAGGCTGCTATGCATGCATCTTTCCGTCGACAAAAAAAAAAAAGGCTGTCAATCTGCTTTCTATCAGTGCCACACAAGGTCCTTAAAAAAGCCCTCCGTGACTTACCGTGATATTCCCGGTTCCTCGTCGGCCAGGTGTCGCTTGTTGCACCGTCGAGAAAAAAAAAAAGCCTCTCGGTTGAATTTAAAATCGCCACCAGTCGGAAATAATTTCGGCAAAGTTTTGTTTTCTGCCCTCCGCCGCTCCCTTCATTCACAAAGCAGCACTTTCTCCCCCCGGACTGTGGGCGGTCAGACTGACTGAGGGGGATGATGCCTGCCAGGGGAAGCTCTCTTTTTTCCTTTTTTTTTTCTTCACGGCTCAGTGCACCATTCAGACACCCACAGCTGAAGATAAAACACCAGTAAAAAACAGCGAAACTTTATGCTTGGTGGGATAAAAAACGTGGGTTAACGTGGGTAATGCCGCTGTAGGACGTTTGTTTATCCTGTGTAACTGTGGTTGTTTGTGGTTTTAGAGCAACATAAATGCCATGGCCCTTGAGTTCATCCCAAGAAGCCTTGTAAAAGACCTGAAGGGGGCCCCTGACCCCACTTTGTAAAATAAGGGAGAGCAGGGTTCAGTTGGACCACTTCAGTGGCAGTCCCACCCACCACCTGGTTAGCATTCATTTTAATATGAATCTTTCATCTTTCATGTTATCAAGAACAGTATTCAGTGGTGGTATAAGGACTGAGATCAGAAATTTAAAGTTAGGAATCATATAAATACCTGTGTGGCACACCAATAGTACAATGTTGGTATGTTTTCATTATAATCACCTGAAAACAAGAATCATCGTGTTTTTCTCTGGTTTTGCAGCCACTGTAGTTTCTCATTTAGCTTGGTTAAGGCCACTAAATCCTACACACTGGCCCTTTAAAAGTATTTATTTCTTCTAATAAAATACTATACTATACTAAGTATTTGAAAAAATTGTAAAAAGTATTGAAGTATTGTAATGCTTTAATATGGTAACTGAAAAAAACACAATATATAAAAAAGTATTTTTATTTTTATTTTTTTGCACCAAGGCACCTTGGTATGGTTGAATTTTAATAGAATAACTTTAGTTTTAGTTTTTTTTTAGCTTGGTTAAAATATTGAGGTGTGAATAATAATAATGATAATGATGATAATAATAATGAGAAAAGAAGAAGAAGAACTTTATTTGTGTAACACTTAAAAACAAAGGTTTGTCTCATATATATATATACTGTATAACTGACACCATAATATATATCTTTTTTTAAATGCAGTGAACTAAAAGGTTATTTATCCAAGTACCACAGCACTGTAGGTTTCTATAACAATTAGGGTTAGTTGACTTTTTAGGGCTACTAACACATTTCCTGGAAGAGGGTTCGTATCTAGTGCCTCTTGATTTATGCCTCTCTTGAGAATTAGAAGAATGTGTAAATGTTTCAATATGTTGCCACACTACAAGTTTGCTGTGAAACCTCATTCCTCGAGTAGACTTCTGACGTGTTGCCCATGAGCTTGCACTGAAATCGTATGTGAAATTGACCAGAGATATTGACCAACAAATCTGGTCTCAGGGACATTGTTGTACTACAATGCTTCCTCTATAGGCACAAAGTTTCATTTCAGCTCCCTGCGGAAACACGAGTAGTCTGTGGCCAGGGAGTTTACAATATGTTGAAAGAGCAAAAAGTTGGATTTCGCATGAATGAAACAACATTTTACTTTCTTTGTGTTTTTGAGGAACAATCATTAATTAATTCATTCATCTATGTATTTATTTGTATTTGTATGAATTACCTGTAATTATCATACAAATGACTTTAAGATGTGATAGTTCATGATTCAACTTTTACATAATCTTATTTTTTAAATTGATCTGTATTATTTTTCAATTTAAAATCGTTTGTTTGTTTTAGTTAGGGCAAATACTATTGTCAAAGTGCAGCTGGATAGATACATTGATACAATAGAAATGCTGTAATCTTAAACTTGACATGTAGTCTTGGATTTGGCTTCATGTAATATTTTATTATAGATAATAATAATGTTTTTTCTTGCTCTCAAAAACTGTGCTACGGTTGAGTTCTTTGACTGTCTCTTTGGTCCACATTACAAGTGACTGTTTCTCCAAATTTGTCTAAATGTCTTCTGAAAAATATCTAAGGGGTCTAATTATTGATAAACCTGATAAAAAGTTTATTTAGGGTTAGGGTAGAGATTATGTTGAGCTCAGGTTTAAATGCTATGAAGTCTGTACTGATGCATTAAGTCAGTCAGGTGATGTTTTCAGTATTTAGTCATTTCAAGTCATTATTTAAATATATTTCCAGCAGCTGATTGTTCGTTCTGATGTCTGAATTAGAACAAATATTCAAACAGTATATCAGATAAAGTTCCTCGGTCTCAAAAAAGAGAGGTTGTGAGTTGCCATATAAAAGGAACTGAAACTATTTTAGTTGAACCTTGTGAACGAGTAGGCTTTCTAGTCTGTGTCAGAGGTTATTTATAACACAGTCTGCGCACATCAACGATAAGATCCCATATGTGTTAACTGTGGCATCTTTATATAGAGTGCATTATTTGATTGGCCTTGCTGATCGTTGTGAAGGGTAGGATTGGGCTGTGAGTGAGATATTTCTTTGGCATTTTGAGCCCAGATAATAACCTGATATCCACATTATTTTATCACAACCTGCCTGATGAATTTAATCTACTACATCAGTATTATAGGCCTGTTTTATTGTGTTTTTACATTGCTATTTATTGTTCGTGATGAATTTCCTTTTGGTTTTCATTTACTCCTTATGTTATATACTGTGTATTTAAAAGTACTATCCAACATTTTAGTCTTGCAGATTAAAACCTTGTTTTTCATGTCTGTGGCCCTTAATGCCTCTAGTCTTATACACCATCATGTAGAGGGATGTCTTAGAAGCATTTAATTGCAAAAACAACCCATATTTTCACACTGACCACCATACTGATCTCTGACCACACGAGATCCGCTTCTCTATAGTACACGATATTTAGGATGTGGGAAGATAAGTTAAAAGGAAGTTGTTTTTAGTGTCTGCAAAAGATACTATATAAACTTCTGTTCTTGTTAAAAGGAATTGGAGACCAATTTAATCACCAATTAGAAATGTGTCAGATTTTGTATGTTTGCCGTTCTTCATGAAATGGAGAATTCAGCTTGGGCCCATTTGAAAACAGGCATCTTGGTTATTTTTCTCTTTCATCATTAACAATACTTTAAAATCTACCTTGTTTTTCAAGCCTCACCTCTTCTGAAATGGTAAATGTTTTGACTTTAATATGTCTTTGCACCACAAGATGGCCCTATAAGCATGGGGTTGTGTTTGATCTGAGCCACTGTAAGCTTGTGGACAAAATTAAACTGTCAGCAGGGGAAAATAAGCATAAATGCCTCTAATAAGTGAGATTCCCTGAGGTGAAACTGTTTATAGACGATTCTGCCTGTACAGGAAGATCTTTCTCTGATATTCTGGTGAATGTGTGGTGTTCGCTGGTGTTTGTGTGGTGCTATTTGACGTGACTGGGTACATTTTGACACATAAAAAAGGTCATCTGAAATGTTAATGATGTACACATTTTGTTTATGGTGTGTGCATGAAGTCGGCACTGCAGTGCAAGCAGGTATTTGAACATTTCAATTGAATTTCTGTCAAAGCGCTGCTTCGCTTTTCAAGAGTCAACAACCCGTTGACAAGGTACATCTAATTCATTTGGCTGGTTTGTTTTGATGACTCACTACTTAGATGTTGTTGCATCTGATTCATCACTGGTCCCTGCTGGAAAATACTCTTCTCAGCAGATAATGTGGAAAGATGGTATGCTCAGTGTAACATAGGAGATCTTAATTAAAGGTCCAGTGTATAACATTTTTGATGATATATTGGCAGAAATGGAATATAATATGCACGTACAATCACCTGAAAATAAGAACTGTTATGTTTTTGTTACCTTAGAATGAGCAGTTTCTTATCTACAGATACTGCCCGTTACCTTCCATGTTGTCTGTCATGTTGAACTGCCATGTTTCTACAGTAGCTGAGAATGGACAAACCAAACACTGGATCTAGATAAGGCCATTTACATTTTTCACACGTTTCGCAGTGTAGTTTCTTCCTCGCACTTGGAAGGGGAGGGCGAGGGAGTTGCAATCGGCAGCTACACCACTAGATGCCACCAAGTCACATTGGACCTTTAATTTGAAGATTTATTATAGATTATCTTTATCTCACTAGAATCATTAGTAAGTCAATTGGCGTTTCATTTAATACTCATAAGTGACTGAGGAAAAGGTGGATGAATCTCAGGCTATTAATCATCGGGGACATAGCTTCATTATGCCAATTCATGTACAACAAATGAAGTGTTCATGCAGATAGCAGTTCATGACAATTGCAAAGCTGTTTCTGGCTACCTTACCAGACTCTGGATCCACTGTTTTCTTTGGTTTAGTATATCATTTATCAAGAAAATATAAAGCCAGTCAAAGTAATCTGAGTCTGCATGCCAGCAGTGCAAAATACAGCAGGATGCACATTTTATATCAGACGAATGTGTTGTCATATCACTAGTTTGATTGTAGTGCAGAGTGTGACAGCGATGTGAGTGTTGAGTCATTTTGTTGGAAGTGAAGAAAGTCAGCATCATCCCTGACTCAATCATCAGATGAATTACAGGAGCAGCAGTAGCAGCCGGCTTGGGAGGATATTTTCACCCACTGGGAATATGAGACAAACTTCTAGACAGATCAAATAGTGGAGCGGGTGCGATCCAATAAAACCACAGAACATCATGCCCCAGACTTTACTTGGAAGACCACCTGCAGTCTAATATCTAGGCGCATTACATTGCAGTATTGCAGTATTAGAACGTTTCCACTTTGTAGTTTGAAGTTCTGCTTGGATGCAGATTGATTAACCTCAATAACACATTTCCTTTAGGGGTTCCTCTAAGGTAATTTTAACCAGCAGGGGGCGACTCCATTGGTTTAAAAAATAAGTCCAATGTAATCTTACGAGAAACCTACTTCTCACATAATTTATTAGCTCAGGTAACAGTTTCAGAATTTGTTTATGGTCTCAGTCGATAGTTTCCAGTATTCTTCCATACAGCATGATTTTCATTTAGTAAATTATGGTCTTATATTGAGCAAAATAGACAATAAAGCAGGGTGTGCTTTAGGCCATGGCTATACCCTGTGACTGTAATTCTCAATTCTCAAAAAAGATTAGTGCTGATCAAATATGA